CCCCAAAACCCCAAAACCCCAAAACCCCAAAACCCCTCATGATAGAAATAATTAGAATTTATTAGTAATCAAAAATATTAGAAAGATAGAAGAATAAATTACTATCTCTATAGAACCTGTTGATTATTTTTCAATAAAAATTTATACTTATTTTAATATATCATGGATAGCTAATTTTTCCTCACTAAACAATGGTTTATTGATTCTCATTAAGGGAATATCAAGGATTAGTATCACTTTAAGGAGAGATTGGGAGCAGGAGGCTTTGGAGTTGTGTATTTAGCAGAACATAAAAAGAATGGTATTTTCTTCGGAAGTTAAAAAGCATTTAGGTGAGTTATATGCAGTGAAAGCGATCCAAAAAAGCAGAGTTAGAGACTATGAGACATTCCAGAATGAGATTAAAATACTCATACATCTCGTACTCATTTCATTTCTTTAATGCTTAATAGGATCATCCAAACATTATAAAGCTATATGAAATCTGGGAATGGCAATCAATCTGCTTTTTAGTTACTGAGTAAGATATTAATTGTTTTGTCTTACATAAAAAGATATTGCGAGGGTGGAGAGTTATTCTATACTATTGTTAACAAAAGAAGTCTGACTGAGAAGGAGGCCGCAATTATTATGAAGCAAAGTTTTTCAGCTCTTAAATATCTTCACGAAAATAATATATGTCATCGGTATTTATTAGTGCAAAAAATATTCATGTTGTAATTAGTGATATCAAGCCAGAGAACTTTTTATTAAAGTATAAGGAAGATATAACCAATGTCAAGCTGATCGATTTCGGACTTTCTAATGATTACTCAGATGCTAAAGTTATGTAAACTCCTGTTGGCTCTGTAATATTACCCCCACCATTAATTTTCTTAACCTTCTATTTAGCCCTATTATATCGCCCCTGAGGTATTTGACTCATCTTATGATTCTAAGTGTGATTTATGGTCAATGGGTGTTGTTCTTTATATATTATTATCAGGTAAAGTACCATTCCCTGGGGAGTCCAATAAAGAAATTATCGAAAATGTAACTAGTGGGAAATATCATTTCGCTCATGAAGAATTCAAAGTAGTTTCTTCCTAGGCAAAGGATTTGATAAGTAAGCTACTGATGAAAGATGCCTCTAAAAGATATACTGCTGCTGATGCTTATAATCACCCAATGATATAAAATATTGAAAGCAATCTTGATGTATCCATCGCATCAGAAGCTTTTGATAATATGAGGAAATTCATTGAGGCTGCAAATTTCAAAAAGGCTACATTAGTCTATCTTGCCTCAAAACTACCTGAGAAAAACTTAGACGAATTGAGAAGGCTTTTTATCTAAATAGACAAAAATGGGGATGGAAAAATAACTCTTGACGAGTTTGTCAAGGCTCTAGAAGGTTATGGATTAAAATACTCTGAAGCAGAGACCAAATAACTGATGAATAAACTAGACACAAATCTGAATGGATGTATTGACTACACAGAGTTCCTAGCAGGATGTATGAAGTCTAAAGTATATCTTTAAGAAGAGTAACTTAAGAATGCGTTCTCTTATTTCGACAAGGTATTAATTATTCTATTGATTAATTTCACCATTTTTTAGGATCAAAGTGGAACTATAAGTCTCGATGAATTGAAGCAGGTCCTTAGAAAAGGTGAGGTAGGACTCTCTGACACAGAGCTAGAGAAGATTTTGAGGCAAGTAGATGAAAATAAGGACAATCAGATAGACTACAATGAGTTTATAGAGATGATGAAAAATGATCTTACTGTCAGATTAGCTGTTTACAATTCCAAGCTTTCAGACTTGCTCATTTACAGACCTTAATGCAATATCTTCTGAGGATGAAAAGAAAGGAACAAACGGATTTCAATTAAGTTAGTAGGTTTAGCTAACTTATATTTAAGTAATCAACCAAAATATCTCATATTGCTCCTATAATATTTCAAGAACATTCTTACCTTCTTAATATATCTAAAAACAGAAGATATTTTATTCACGGGGTTTTGGGGTTTTGGGGTTTTGGGG